ATGTGCAGATACGGAGAATTCATCCTAAAAGAGATAATACGGTTTTTTTTCTTTTTATTCAGAGCGACAGCCTTGTCCATTTGCACAACCATATCTTGGCTCACGTTTAAATCGCGAATTTAATCACTCAAGTTAGTCGCTCAAGAACTTGTTGCTTTTAATTCCTGGTCTCTCTGTGCAGTTTTTCGATTACGAAGCACGCTAAGGGAATATCTTGTTAAATAATCAATGAGCAAGCTGATTACCCCAGGACTCAATTCAATTTTCTTTTAACGCGATCCTCGACCGTGTAATAATATCTTTCTAGTAACTTAAATTCTTTCTTAATAACAGCATTTATAATACTTCTATTATTCCGCACAAAATGTAACTATATGATCCGAGATATTAAATTAATTCATGCAATTTATTAACCGATTATGTCATAAATCTTTGAAATAGTTTCTGCAGTAAAAATGCTGAAATAGTTAGAAAAAGAGCTTTAAGGAATCTAATATTTTTATCCCTTAAATTGAGAGATAAAGTAAGTGCGAAAATTCGCCATGAAATGGGATCACATTGCGATTTAATGACCTCGCGAAATGTAAAAATCTTTATGTCTCAAACCAGTTATATTACTGCTGTTCTTTACAACTAAATAATTTCTATAAATAATTTCTATAAATCTTATGATATCTCGACCTAATTATTCTGACCCGGTATCAAACTGAATTTTAACTTCGCTTTCATTATACACTTTCGTTATTACCTCAATCCAAGCTAAATGAACCTTAACTCGCACATGATTGGAATTAGTTGCGAGTGCACTCTGCTGTTACGTCATGTAAAATAAATTGCGCGCATATATTTTCGTGATTTTATAATCTCAAAAAGGTTATTGAGTTACCACATATAATGCAATATAATATCAAATATGGGACACCGACGTATTATGTTTAACTTTCCTTCGACGATGTGGAACAATATGTAGAATTGGAAAAATTTTGAATTGTTCCACTTGAGAGCTAGTTCCCACATTACAGTCCGCGTGTTTGTACCCACTGAAAATATTATAATATCGGCCATATCGTGCTCCACATTCGCGATTAGTATTGACTTAAGTGCTATGCACACTCAAAATATTACATACACGTCTATCAAGAGATTCTATATATAGGGTTCGCCATCTTCCCTATGTAATTACATAGCCAACTTTAGGATAACTATCTAGTTCTCCGATTCGTTTGTTCTCCTTCATTTCGTCCCGATTATTCCATATTCAATTTTCCATCTCTATCTCTTCTTTTCTTTCTCTTTCCATAAATATATAATGAAAAACGTTTGTTCCTTTATATAAATACATGACCACTCTCAGAATTTAGACGTTCTCATTTATTTCGTGCTTTAAATTGCGTTTTTTTATTGTAACAGCGTTGACAATAGTTTCCTTGTTTTTCCACGCGTACAGTAAATTAATCTTAAGTTCATTGTGGAAACGGTTCGTTTATTTAGAGCGTGATGTGATTTACGCGTGGTATCTCGTATATCCATGCAAATCCGGAAATTATTACCCATGTAAGGGATTCTCCTCACCCTTTTGCTCGGTTTAGCGGCAAATTCTACTGAATTACGAACAACGTACGGCGAACTGACGAAACTGTAACATTACAACTTCATTCGCAGGCTTATCTCTGGAATGATGTTATCATTCTCATGCTAATCTCTTGTGTGATATGGGTTTTTGGCAACGGGAGAGATAGAGAAAAGACGATTCTAAAAAACGATGATTCTATTGCTCGATTGATAGCTCCCTCGAGTGTCATTACATTTACACATTTAGCTTTTTCCGTCCTGATGATACGTTAAAGGTCCATTTTCAACGTAGCGTTTGCCTAGGATCTCACCCCACACTGTCGCGCACTAAAATTAATTAAAATTAATATTAGTATATAATTTTCCTTGCCGAGAGGACCACAAGCTCGAGAGGCTAAAAATTCCCTTAATAAAAACGGAAAGTCGTTTAAAAGAGGCGATAGACACGCTTCGACGAAGATTGGCTTTCATAATGACTTTTAATATTTTCAATCGCGTCGGATAGTATCGTGCATTATGCACTCGATCGAATCCAAAAGAATTTCGGTGTAATAATAAAGTTTTGGTGAATTATCCGAGTAGCTTACAGCATCGCTTTCACAGCGCGCTCGCCTTCTCCCCGCAGTCCTTTATCGTATCCTTTTTCATGAGAAAGCAATATTGCCATCGGGGTAAGATCTTCTTATATGTACAAAAATTCTCTCCTCCTCGGTTTTTTTGCCATTCGCCAGTCAACTCGGTTATCGTAT